TGAAATATAGAAACTATTTCCGATTAATTTTAATAATTTTTAAGTGGTCCTTCATTTATTGGGGGGCACTGTATATGTCGTGCTCTTATACATTTAGAAGAAATCATCACACAAATTTTTCTTGCTTGAGATTCTATTTGTAATACAATTTTACAATGTACTGATTCAAGATCACCTGCAGATGATTGTAAACATCTTTTAAGAATGGCATATGCACCTTCTACTCGTGAAGTCACCTTGTTACCAAAATGCAAATAACAATCAGCTCAGGCAGAAATAAAATGCTTCTTATATGGCATCCAGGTTTCTTGAAGATATTGTAAAACATCGGATTTGTTTTTGTAGCATTCTAAAAATTCACTTCATTGAGTTGTAAAGTCTTGTTCAGTAGCAGATTCTGTAATAACCTTTCACATTTTTATAAATTCATTCCAATGTTCTTCTGTAGTGAAGTGATGCTTACATTTGGTCAAAATATTTTTATTTATATGCCAAATGCATAAAAGATGTTGAGTATCAGAAAAAATTTTACGAATAGCTTTCATTAATGCTAATTCTCGATCAGTAATAATAACATTGGAATGAGATAATCCATTAAAGATTTTTGAAACACAAGTTAAAGCCCATTCGTAATCTACTTCCATTTCATTCTTCAAAAAAGCAAAACAGGAAAAAAATATTGTATTAAAACTTGTTATATCAACAATGTTTAATAGAGGCATCTGATATCTATTTGTCTTATATGTGCAATCCAGAAGCAACACAATAGGATAGGAGCGAGTCAATGCAATAGATATTTTGTGTGTGAAAAAAAGATGTATAATGTGATTTTGATGATCACATTGATATTCAAACTCAAAGTCTGATCCTTGCAATTCATCAAAAAGAGCTTGAATTGGTGTACGACCATTAAGTTTTTCTTGGTGAATAGATTGTAAAGTATTATAGATTGTTCTGGATATAGCCATAGAAGATGAATTACCTTGCTGAATAATTGATAGAATTTGACGAGGATGAGAACTAGCAGTAGACATTTGTCGAACTTGCTCTCATTGTTCAGTATTTAATCTGCGAATAATTGGATGGCCAGACATATCTTTTGATGCTTCGTGATTGTGTTCAAAATTTCTAATTTCAAGAAATCAAATATCATCACGTCTGATTCCAAATAGCTCAAATAGACAATTTAAAAGTCTTGAAGCTGTTTGTCTGCGATGTGAATTTGCTGTTAAATTTAATCTATTCCTATAAGAACCACCTTTGTCACAATACAATGTTATATTTTTGATTTGATCATTCATATCAGTTCGTGATCTCTTTATGGTTACAGCATATCCTTGAGTTGCGGCAAAGGCTCGAACATGAGCAAGAAGCTCATTATAACTTACAAATTGATTGGATAGAGATGGAAGCATATAAAAAAAGTGTCACAGTAAGATTAAATAAACATTTTTTATTAAAAAATAATTTATGACTTTATCTTATACTATTGTCTATCTAATAATTTAAACTATTATTATTACTTCATTTTTAATGCACATATAGTGAAGTCGTTCGATGCATATAATTGATATTTTATAAATGATCAATTTCATAGATATATACACGTAGTTTAAAATTTATAACTCAATGTCACGTGGAGAGTGGCGTTAACAAAACATGGGGTGGCAATAACAACTTCCTAAAAAAATTGGTTAATTTAATTAATTCAAATTAATATAAGTATATTAGGAAAATTTTTTACAAATTTTCAGAAGAATATTTCAAAGGTCTTTAAAAAACTTTGAAAAATTTTAATAGCAAAATAATTTGAAGATCTCTGAAATAATATAAAATAAAATGTTTAACTTCAAATATTTTATAAAAAATTAAATTAATTTATTTTTTTAGAGTACTTAATATATATAAAATAAAATTTTATTATAAATTATTTATAGTAGTAACTATAAATAATAAAAATTGTAAATTTATTTTTATTTATTTAAAAAAATATAAAAAAATAAAATAAAATAGTTAAACTAATATACTAATTAATATATTTTTTTAATATGCCTATTTTTTATTATTAACTCTTCCAAACAATAAGACATGCTTTTTACTAATCCAATCAATATGCTTTTTTCAAAATCCACCTATTTTGATTTAATTAATTCTTTAAACTTGATAAACACAATAGATTTTTTTTCTTTACTTTCTTATTAATTTTTTTTTCTATTTTTTTTTAAAAATCACCTATAGATTTTTTATAGGATTAAAATCTAATAAATTTAATAACCAATATAAAACCTTTACATAAGAATCAGTTAAAAATTGCTTCATTATTTTTGCTATGTGTTTAGGATTATTATTCTGTTAGAAAATTTAATTATAATTCATTACAGTCTATATATTAGCAAAATTATTTATAAGAATTTGACAATATAACATCTTATTCATATTTTGAATAAACATATGAAAACTAACAGTACCTCTTATTAAAAATATATCCTATATATAAACCTTATATAAGTGCTTAACTATAGAATATAGTAGCTATTCTATATTAGTCATATAATAAACATGAGTTATATTACAAAATATTTGAAAAATAAATTTATCAAAAAAAATAATTTGGCTTTATTTTTGATTAATATAAGCTTTGATTCATTCTAAGCAACAATTTTTATATTTTTTAATAAGAAAAAAAACTCATTTAAGAATTGTAACTATTTATCTATGATTTGTAAGCATCCTGTTAATAGTTCTCACTATACATGTGGCATAAATTATTTTGCTGTTGATTTAATTCCCAAAATCCTCAAAAATAATTACATTATGACTCAATTATTTATATGTTTTAATGGTAACTCAATTAATTGTGTCAAATAATTGCATCAGTTGTGTCAAGAATCTACGAATTTCAGCAACATGTATAGTTTTCACCAATATTTTTAGGTTTGAATTACTAATATTTAATTTAGATGCAAGTTCTTTAGTAGAAATTTTTGGATTCTTCCAAATAAGTTTATTAAAATTATAAAGTTTCTTGAAAAACAACTTAAGAGATTATTTTGGATAAGGTAAAGAGTCTAAATTATTAATTTTTTTAAATTTTTTTATATAGTTTAAATTGCTTGATTTATAAGATTGTAGCTTCAGGCCAATCAGATATAATTATTGATATTTTTAAAATAAATTGAATACTTTTGCTTTCAATTAAATAGTTAATTCCATTTTTTGTTAAAATTAATAACTCAAATAATATCTTCAGATATTTGTAAAAGACTTCACATATAATTATTTTAAATTTTGTAATTGTTTTTCCATTATATTTTTTGATTTAATTATTGACAAATATCCTAATAGTTGTTTTGCATTCAGTTTATTGTACCTCCAATTTGATATATTTCCTAATGAAACATATATTGGATGTAATAAACTCTTTCCCAAAGTATCACAATTTGTTACATCAGAATATAATATAGAGGGTATCCATATTATTGTGGACACTTTTTATTATACAATAAAAAAATTAAAATTATATATTATAAAGCATATTATATTTAAATTTCAAATAATTATAATGATTCACTCAAAATCTATGATAAAAAACTTTAAAGATACAAATTATTATCAAACTAAAAATCAAGAAACTATAAGTACATAATTAAATAATTATTTATTTAATTATTTATCTATTTTTTTATTATTTTTTTTTAATAAAAATATAAACGAAAATGCGTTAATTTGTATTATAATTTTTTTGAATTTTTTTATATAAAAAAAATCATGTTTTTATCCTTTTTTGGTTAAAAAAACAAGAATCAAATTTAATAGGTAATGAAAAAGATTTAACTGTTGCACAAAAAGGAGCCATTATCTATAGTTACCTGAGAGGTGACTCATATCATGCCATCACTGCTAATGTTGGCTGTAAGAAGTTTTCTGTGGAAAATATTATAGATAAGTATCGTAAGGCGAGAACTATTGAACTGCAAAGAAAACGTCTTGGACGTCTGCCGCTCCTTACTACTTTCGATCGTTCTGCCCTTAAAACTCTTGTGACTAATGGAAACCATCATTTAAACGCCACCCAAGTTGCCACTACTTTTACTGCTCAAACCAAACTCCATATATCAAAAAATACTATCCATCACATCCTAAAAAAAGAAAATTTAAGATCTTGCATTGCACACCTGAAACCACTAATCTCCACTATTAATGCATTGAGCAGGCTTATCTGGTGTCTTGCTTGCAGAGACTGGACCACCTGACACTTCAGACATATTCTTTGGTTAGACGAAACATCTATTCAGTTTTTCCAGCAAGTTCTTTCTCAAATTTGATGTAAATCACATGAGGAATGGGACGTTGAATACCTAAGCTATACCATTAAACAAAGCCCTAGCTGTATGTTTTGAGACTGCTTCTCTTGGCACGGAACTGGCTCTCTATTTCCATTAATTAATAATGTTACAGGGGCTTCGTATGTTGGGATCTTGTGCAAATATATTATACCTACCTTAAAAAAATATCCAGGAAATGTGAATTGTGGTCGTCCTTTATTTTAGCAAGACAATGCGAGACCCCATATTTCGAAAATCGCCACTACATTTTTTGAAGATCACAAGATCAGGGTATTAGATTGGCCTGTCCAGAGCCCTGATCTGAACCCTATCGAAAATCTCTGGCATAAGATCAAGACGTCTGTGTGTCGCAAACCAAAGCCTAGTAATTTTACTAATCTCAAAATTCTTATTAAACAAGCCTGGCGAGATGTTTCACCAGAAATTTGCTGTCAATTAGTGAATAATATGCTGGATCATATTGCAGCTTGCATTGCTGCTAATAAAGGCCCTACAAAATACTAAGACTTGATATTAGCTTGAATTTTTTTTTAAAAAAAATATATATATATTTATATATATTTTTTAGCTTTAAGTTTTTTTTTTAAAAAAAGATTTTCGTTCGATTTGTAATTTTGGTTTGATCATAATTCGTAACATGAAGGTTTTTTTATTATAAATTCCAAGTGAATCATTACAATCACATGAAATTTTAATATAATATACTTTAACATATTATAAAAATATTTACTTAGTATAATAAAAAATTTTTTTGCTTATTAATTTATTTTATTGTATAATAAAAAGTGTCCACAATAATATAGGTACCCTCTGTATCATATTTTACAAGGATGTGAATAATACCTGCTGGAGGACCTTCATTGAAATAATCGGAAATCAAAGTCTGCGGTTGCCCAACTATATATCTTACATCAGCAGGATAGAATGTACAAATAATAAAAGGAACATTTTTAAATTAAGATGGTAACTGGTTCTAAATTTCAGTTTCAAGATCATTGTTTTTCGCTCCTCTGGGAGTTTAATAACAGCATCTCTTGGGAGACCAGTGAATACATGAACGGGATTAATAAAACATTCAAGATTAATAGTAGTATTATTGTGTCTCCTAAATATTAAAACTTCGAAGCCCAAAAAATTCAATTACTTATCTTTACCATGAGTTAATATGAAAAGTTAAAAATTCATGAGAGTGAAATATAAAACTATTTATTTATATTTCTTCGTAAAGGGATCTATAATGTTATTAACTTGCTCTTTATTTATAATTAAGCCTCCATAGAAATGTTGCCAGACACAATCAATATCAAGGTCTGTGAATATGCAGAGTATTGAGTCATAAACACATAAATGAGATCTCTTCAGCCTGACGATCACAAAGAAATCAGTTAATGCAACAACTATCCGAAATTGTGGAGATTTTAAAGTTCTATAATTCACAATTCCTTCGAGTCTCATTTTCACCCGTCCTTAATATAAAAGCATATATTCTATAGATACATTTTTCCAGCCTATATAAATGATAATTGCGAACTTCTATGTTGATTGAAATTGGTTAATGATTATCTCTGTATAATCAAACATTCCAGTTATATTACATATGAATTTTAATAATTCAGCTTTCAGATATATACTCATTTATTACTATGAATTTACCCATCATTTTATTTTGATTATATACTTATCATTCT